GTTGCAGGCGACGTGTGCTGCTGCCGGGCACGTGAGGCTGCCGCCACAGGAGGTGCTGCTGCTGCTGCGGGCGGCGCGTGCGGCTGCCGCAGAAGGAGGAGGTGCTGCTGATGTTGCGGGCGGCGCGTACTGCTGCCACCAGAGGAGGAGATGTTGCCGCTGCTGCGGGCGGCGCGTGCTGCTGCCGCCAGAGGAGGAGGTGCTGCTGCTGCTGCTGCTGCTGCTGGCGGCACGTACGGCTGCCGCTGGAGGAGGCGCTGCTGCTGCTGCGGGCGGCGCGTGCGGCTGCCGCCGGAGGAAGAGGTGCTACTACTGCTGTTGCGGGCGGCGCGTGCTGCTGCCGCCGGATGAGGAGATGTTGCCGCTGCTGCGGGCGGCGTGTGGTGCTGCCACCGGAGGAGGAGGTGTTGCTGCTGCTGCTGCGGGCGGCACTTGCGGCTGCCACCGGAGGAGGCGCTGCTGCTGCTGCGGGCAGCGCGTGCGGCTGCCGCCGGAGGAGGAGGTGCTACTGCTGCTGCTATGGGGGGCGCGTGCTGCTGCCGCCGGAGGAGGAGAGGTGCTGCTGCTGTTGCGGGCGGCGCGTGCTGCTGCCACCGGAGGAGGAGATGCTGCCTCTGCTGCGGGCGGCGCGTGCTGCTGCCACCGGAGGAGGAGATGCTGCCACTGCTGCGGGCGGCGCGTGCTGCTGCCGTCAGAGGAGGTGCTGCTGCTGCTGCGGGCGGCGCGTGCGGCTGCTGCAGGAGGAGGAGGTGCTGCTGCTGTTGCTGGCGGCGCGTGCGGCTGCCGCCGGAGGAGGAGATGTTGCCGCTGCTGCAGGCAGCGCGTGCTGCTGCCACCAGAGGAGGAGATGCTGCCACTGCTACGGGCAGCACGTGTGGCTGCCGCCGGAGGAGGCGCTGCTGCTGCTGCGGGCGGTGCGTGCGGCTGCCGCCGGAGGAGGAGGTGCTACTGCTGCTGCTACGGGTGGCGCGTGCGGCTAGCGCCGGAGGAGGAGGTGGTGGTGCTGCTGCTATGGGTGGCGCGTGCTGCTGCCGCTGGAGGAGGAGATGCTGCCGCTGCTGCGGGCGGCGCATGCTGCTGCCACCAGAGGAGGAGGTGCTGGTGGTGCTGCTGCGGGCGGCATGTGCGGCTGCCGCCGGAGGAGGTGCTGCTGCTGCTGCGGACGGCGCGTGCGGCTGCCGCCGGAAGAGGTGCAGCTGCTACGGGCGGTGCGTGCTGCTGCTGCTGGAGGAGGAGCTGCTGCAGGGGGAAGGGAGGTGTGAGGGGTGGCTGGAGGGCCCGAAGGAAGAGGAAAGGACGTGAGAGGGGTGGCGGGAGGTCCCCAAGGAAGAGGAAGGGAGGTGAGGGGGGGGGGTAAGGAGCGGAGAGGGGGGGGTTAAGGAACGGAGAGGTGGGGGTTAAGGAGCCGCTGAGGGGAGGGGAGGGGGGGGAGGTCGGGCGGAGGGCAGGTTAAGGAGCCGCTAAGGGGAGGGGAGAGGAGGAGGACGAGCAGAAAGCGGGTTAAGGAGCAGCTGAGGGAAAGGGAGGGTAGAGGGGGAGGACGGGTGGAAGGCGTGTTCAAGAGCTGCTGAGGGGAGGGGAGAGGGAGAGGACGGTCGGAAGGCATGCTGGGAGTCGCTGAGGGGAGAAGAGAGGGGGAGGACGGGCAGAAAGCGGCCTCAAGTGCCACTTAGGGGAGGGGAGAGGGGGAGGACTAGCGGGAGTGGGGCTAGGAGCCGTTGTGGAAAGGGGAGAGGGAGAGGACGGGCGGAAGGCGGGCTGGGAGCCGTTGAGGGGAGGGGAGAGGGGGAGGATGGGCGGGAGGCGGGCTAGGAGCCGTTGAGGGGAGAGGAGAGGGGGAGGATGGGCGGAATGCGGTTTAAACAGCCACTGAGGGGAGGGGAGAGGGGGAGGACGAGCGGAAGGCAGTCTAAAGAGCCACTGAGGGGAGGGGAGAGGGGGAGGACGAGCAGGAGGGGGGCTAGGAGCCGTTGAGGGGAGGGGAGAGGGAGAGGACAGGCGGAAGGTGGGCTGGGAGCCGTTGAGGGGAGGCGAGAGGGGGAGGACAGGCGGAAGGGGGGGGCTAGGACCCGTTGAGGAGAGGGGAGAGGGAGAGGACGGGCGGAAGGCGGGCTGGGAGCCGTTGAGGGGAGGAGAGAGGGGAAGGACGGGCGGGAGGCAGTCTGAAGATCCATGGAGGGGAGGGGAGAGGGGGAGGACGGGCGGGAGGGGGGCTAGGAGTTGTTGAGGGGAGGGGAGAGGGAGAGGACGGGCGGAAGGCGGGCTTAGAGCCGTTAAGGGGAGGGGAGAGGGGGAGGACGGGCGGGAGGCGGTCTGAAGAGCCACGGAGGGGAGGGGAGAGGGGGAGGACGGGCGGGAGGGGGGCTAGAAGTTGTTGAGGGGAAGGGAGAGGGAGAGGACGGCCGGAAGGTGGGCTGGGAGCCGTTGAGGGGAGGGGAGAGGGGGATAACGGGCGGGAGGCGGTCTGAAGAGCCACGGAGGGGAGGGAAGAGGGGGAGGATGGGCGGGAGGGGGCTTAAGGGTGCGGAGAGAGTTCATAGGCTAAGGATCGAGTAGGGGAGAGGCGTGAGCCATAAGCTCTGAAATCATGTGAGAAATGGTGAACTTAGAAAAGTTAATTAGAGGGAAAGCACAAGGGTTTACATAGGAATGTGAGGAAAAGGAGGAAGGGAGGGTTGGTTGGGAGTTGGCCAAGATTATTGGTCCCCACCAATAATTTTGGTTGGGATTATTGGTGGTCCAATAATTCTGGTGGGAAATATTGGGGGTCCCAAATAGTTGTGGACCCAACCAAATTGGGAACCCAACCTCCAAATAGAGTTATTACACCCTACTATTAGTGGAGTGCTTAAATTTTCTCAAGACTAACAAATCCATGTTGACTAGTGAATATAGTAGGATACTCTAACAATATGTTGTGGGCTGCACTTGAAGTAGTGTTCCGGAAGGCTTGCACTCACAGAGTGCGGCTGGAGAGAAGGGAGGCAGGGGGGAAAGGGAGGCAGGGGGGGAAGGGAGGCAGGGGGGAAAGGGAGGCAGGGGGGAAAGGGAGGCAGGGGGAAAAGGGAGGTAGGGGAGAAAGGATGTCAAGGTAGAAAGGGAGGCAAGGTAGAAAGGAATGCAAGGTACAAAAAGAGGCACGGGCGAACGGAGGGCAGAGGGAAAGCGAGGCAGGGGGGAAAGAAGGCAGGGGGGAAAGGGAGGTAGGGGGGAAAGAAGACAAGGGGGAAAGAGAGGCAGGGGAGAAAGGGAGGCGAGGTAGTAAGGGAGGCAGGGTAGAAAGGGAGGCAAGGTAGAAAGGGAGGCAGGGGGGAATGGAAGGCAGGGGGGAAAGGGAGGCAGGGGGGAAAAACGACAGGGGGGAAAGGGAGGCAGGGGAGAAAGGGAGGCAAGGTAGAAAGGGAGGCAAGGTAGAAAGGGAGGCGAGGTAGAAAGGGAGGAAGTGTAGAAAGGGAGGCAAGGTAGAAAGGGAGGCAGGGGGAAAGGGAGGCAAGGGGGAAGGGAGGCAATGGAGAAAGGACATATCCCCCATCGCGGTCCCTCTCTCCCTTCTCCCTCCCATCCCTATCCCTAAATCGCTTCTCCTCCCTAGCCCCATCCCCACAATATGTCCTCCCCTCTCTCCCACTCCATCTCTCCTTCCCTCTCTGCCACCTCCCACGCCATCCATCCGCTCACTCTCTCCCTTTCCCACTCCTTCCCTTTTCCGCCCTCTGCTATCTCAATCCCAATCCCATCTAGGAGGGAGTGGGGGGGGCGACAAGAGGAAGGGGAGCCAGGACGGTACGGGGAGTAGGGAGGTTGGGGAGAAAGGAAGGAGGGGAGAGTGGGGGGAGCGCTACACGATGGGAGGGAGGGGTAGGAAACGTAACGCGGGCGGCGGGATTTGGGGGCAGCTTTCCGCGACGGTAGAAAACGGCAGGAGGGGAGCACGATGGGAGGGTGGTGGGGTCAAAATAACGCATAGCGGGAGAGTGATTCGTCGCGAATCGCGGCGGGATAGAAAGGGGGGGAAGAGTTTCGCGACCTAGGTAGAGAAGGGAGGGACGAGGAGCGCTAAGGTTTGAGGTCAAGTACCGGAGAGGAACGCGACTGAAGATCGGGAGGGAAGCGTGTCGCGATGGTGGAGGTGGGAGCGACGAGAGCGCGATCGGAGAGCGGGGAGGGGAGCGTAACTCGACGGTAGAAGTAGGGAGGGCATCGTATCCGATTTGCGGGAGTTTATGCTTTTTTTCTGATGTGTTATGGTCGTCGCGGTCCTTGTGTCGCATGCTTATTTGACGAGGACGCTGTGCCGTGCATCTAACCCGCATTCCTTGGCGGAATGTCGCCCAGAGGAGTTAGTTATGGCTCCTATCGCATTACTTCGCCGCCTAAAGTGCTACGATCAAGCAAAATGACTAGCGAGTACATCGCACCAAAAGCAAAGTGGGGGTCCTCTTGAAAATGCCAGGGGAGGGGCTGGTCGCCAGCGTGGTCGTTGAGCTAGGTTCGGCGACGAGGGAGGTTTGGTCGTGCGGTGACTTTGGGTATCACCGACAAAATGGCAGTGCCGTGCGCCAATTACTGTCCTCGTTCCTTATCGCTTCCGGCTTTGGTTGTGTTTGTTGGAAACACCTCAAAGACTTAAGCGTTTCTGAAGTGTAACACTACGCTCGAAGAGAAGTCGTATAGAGTACACGAGTCAACGGAGGTTACACGAGGAGGTTGGACGAAAGAACATGAAAAGACGAAGGGACTCGAAGGGTTGCAACTGGAGGTTGCGATGCGACTGACCGTTGCGACTGCAGGGGTGGTAACCGAACCAACGATCGAGTCGCTGTGCGACTCGATAACCGTTTATTCAACTGTATTCTACAACTGCTTTATTTCCTATTTTCTATATATTCCTGTATGCATGCTTCTTTTAATCAATCACTTGCTCTCACATACTAGTGCAAGGGTTCTCTGGAAAGATCCTAAGGGCTTTTCTCAGCCCAACAGTGTTCATATTTTGTTCAGAGCCAAAAGCAGGAAATTTCTGCCAGCAAAAGATATACCGTACAAGGTTCAATTGATCCCCTGCTTTGTGTTTTTAGACAGGGGCTCTAAGTGCGAATTTATCACAACAGGCAGAATCACCATAAACCCATCCACAGGTCAACGCCCAGTTGACCCAGTTGACCTGGTGCCCCAGATACGGCCAGCCCATCCCAGCATTGCAACGTGCCCCAGATACAGCCAGGCCAGCCAACCCCATCATTGCAACAAGGACATGCCGCAGCAGGTATCCCACACCAACCTCTCCCTCTCCTGTCGACACCGTCAGTCAGCTCCTCACGAACCCTATTCAACCTAACCTAGAACAGCAGGAGGGGTTTGGTAGGGTTTAGCAAAGTAAGAGGGGTCCAGGGACCAGGAGGGAAAGCAGGCATGGGTCCGCCACCCCCAGCTTGTACTCCCCCCAACCCACCCAACCTACCCATCCCCACCCCCCTTAGCCTACAGCAGCAGGAGCCTTGTCGAGCCGGTGGCTGCAGCGCGGTTGGAGGGGTCCAGGAGGTAAAGCAGGGGCAGATTCGCCACCCAAGCATGTGGAGGCACATCCCCTCTCAACGCATCCCCATGACCTCCCCCCCCTCTCCCCCCCCCCCCCCCCCTCTCCTTAACCCCTCGCCCGTCTCAGCCCAGGGCAGCAAGAGCCTTGTTGAGCCGGTTAAAGCTCGTGGCTGTGGCGCGGTTGGAGGCGTCCAGGCGCGAGGGCTCCCTTCAACCAACCCATTCCCCCCTCCCCCATCCTCTCAGCTCAGCACAACGCTACTACCTCTAACCCCAGGGCAGCTAGCGCCTTGTTGAGCCAGTTAAGGCTGGTGGCTGCAGCGCAGTTCTACGGGTCCATCCAGGCAGGAGAGAAGGCGCAGGTGCACCAACCCCAACTTGTACCTCTACTCAACGCATCCCCATACCCCCCCCTCCCCCCCCCCCTTTCGTCCCCATTTTCCCAGCGGGCTCTCGGCCCCTCGCCCCTCTCAACCCAAGGCAGCGAGGGCTTTGGTAAGCCGGTTGAGACTCGTAGCAACGGCACGGTTGGAGGGGTCGAGGCGGGAGAGCAAGCGCAGGTCTGCCACCCCCAGCTTGTACTTCTCCATCGCCTCATACAAGCAAGCACGCTGCATCAACACTGCCGTGTTCTCCGGGTCCAAGTCCAGGACCTGGGGGATTGGGAGGAAGGATGGGGTAAGAGGCAATGGGCGGAGGAAAGAGTGCAGGCCCACCACCCCCAGGTTGTATTTCTCCATGGCTCGGTGCAGACACACTCGCTGCATCAGCACTGCAGTGGTACACAAGTTGTTTGCCAAAGCTTCAAGTAAATTGCAGCGGGTGGGAAGAAACAATGAGTGGAAATCAGAGGGAAGGTCTGCCAGCTAGCAGCATCGGTGCAGTTAACACCTTCACCAATACCCCCCTGTCCACCTCTCCATACCTCGGGGGGGAAGGGAGGGGGGGGAGAAGCATTGGGAGTGGGAGGGTTGGGAAGTATTGGGGAGGGGGGAGTTACGGGAGGGGATCTTACCTGCAGTCAGCCACAGCTTCCTTCATCTCCCCCGCCTCCTTATAGCACGACGCCCTGGCACTTAGCACCTGCACCAGAACCCCCCGGTCCGCCTTCCTTACTCTCCAAGAAATAGAGTGGAGGACTGAGAGGAAAGCCCCGGGAAAGGGGGTTTCTGGAGGGAATCTCGCCTTACAGCAGCCAAGGCTCACCTTGGTGCAGTCTCCCCGCCTCCTTGTCCCCCTCTCCGCCAGCTGGAAGAGAGGATTCGGAGTAGAGAGCCTACAAGGGGAAGGGAAGGCTGAGGAGTTCCTCACCTTGCTGCAGTCAGCCACGGCTTTCTTCATCTCGCCGGCCTCCTTGTAGCACGACGCCCTGGCAGTTAGCACCTGCACCAGCACCCCCCTGTCCGCCTCCCCCCCTCTCTCCGCCAGCTGCTCCGCCCACAGCAGCCACTTGATCGCGTCCGCAAACTGGCCCCCCTTGTAGAACTCCGTCCCCTTATCGAGCGCTGCACTATAAGACATACCAGCAGGAGGGGGGGGGAGTCCCTCCAGCTCCACTGTGGTTTCGGTCGACACAGAGGCTGAGGTATCCCCGAAGCTTCCCCAGTCACCTGCGTCTTGGTTCCCAAAGTTCACGCTTGGGCCTGTTGTTCCAAAGGCACTGCTGCCGCTGCTGCCGGCACCAGAACCAGCAGCACCAGCAGCACTGCCAGCGGTGGGCTTGGGATTGAAGAGCAGATCTACAAGCGGATCGAAGGATCCTCCAGCACTAGCCGATGGCTGGGTCTGGAACGCCTGTTGTTGGGGCTGGGAACTGCCGAAGGATGATGCGAAGTTGGCAAATGGATCAGCAGCCGCAGAAGCAGCAGTCGCAGAGGCAGCAGACGCAGATGGAGCGGCCGGAGCAGCCTGGGGGGCGGGAAACGACGCGGAGAAGTTTGCAAATGGGTCTGCTGCAGACGAGGATGAGGCCCTGCCTGCAGCCCCTGACATGCCGCCACCGCTGCTGCTGCTGCTGGTGGTGGTGGTAGCATTGGCAAAAGGGTCCGGCCAGGAAGTGGCAAAAGGATCAGCAGAGGCAGCAGAAGATGGTGCAGAGGCACGCATTGAAGCACCTCCTGCACCTGCTTTCATAGGCTGACCACCCAAACCACCACCTGTACCACCCGCTAAACCGCCCCCAATACCACCCCCTACACCACCCCCACTTTCTAGACCAAATCCCGCTCCCGCTCCTGCCCCTGCTCCTGCTCGGCCCCCTGCTCCCACGCCTGTTGCTGCTCCTGATGCTGCATCTTTAGGAACGGAGCTCCGTAGATCGCCCATACCGAATGGATCAAACCCTCCCCCTCCTCCCCCTCCGCCTCCCCCTCCACTTCCCCCTCCAAACCCCCCAGCCCTACCCGTGCCAGATCCACCTACACCAGATGCACCGCCTGCACTGTCCCTGGAAGCGCCATACGCTGACGTGGATGCTGACGTGGACCCTCCAGGTCGCGCGGAGGCAGTGGCGCTGCTCCACAGGCTCGCGAACACGTCATCCGCCTTGCTGGCAGCCGCTGACGCAGCACTACTGCCACCAATCCCACCGCCAAGACCACCGCCAACCCCACCGCCAGAGATGCCCCCTATTGAGGAGTTAAGGGGCTTCGCATTCATGCCCCCGTACCCGCCTCCCGTGCTGCCTATCCCGGACTGGCCTAGAGGTACCCAGCTGGGGCCCGTTCCGCTGCCAGGTTTTGCCTGTGTGGCGGGGGGAGTGCGCCCCCCCACTCCCCCGCCAGAGGACGCGGCCCCCCCCCCTCCGCCAGTGGACCAGGAGGTTGCTCCCTGCGCGTACCCGCCTCCCGTGCCTGCGCGCATCCCGCTCCCCTGAGAGGAAGGAAAGCATATTGTGACAAAAGGAGGGAGGGTTTGACAAGGGGAAGTGGTTGTGAGAAGGAGTGACCGTATGAAGGGCTAAGGAGGTCGCTCCCTGTGCGTACACTCCCCCCCCCCCCCCCCCCTCCCACCATCCCCTGTGCGTTCGCGCCCCCCGGGACCCTGGGGGTAAGGAATACGTATTGTGTCAGGCGGAAGGCGGGTTGGGAAGGGAAAAAGTTGTGGAGAAGAAGAGGGGAACGGAAGGGGAAGCAGTTGTGAAAACGGGGAGGAGACACTGCGAGGAGGAGGGGGACTCACCGAGGGTCCGCCGAGCTTCTGGTCCTTGAGGCTGCCGCCTGCTGCCGTGCGACCTCCGCCAATGGCAGACCCAGACGACACTCCCAAGTCGAAGTCGAACTGGAAATTCTGAAAGCCGACGGGCGGAACAGAGAGGAGAAGGGAGAGGGACGCCCTTATGATGGCTCTTGAGTGACTCAAAGTCGGCCATGGCAGATCCCGACGAAACACCTAGATCGAAGTTGAACTGGAAATTCCGAATGAGAGAGATCGGGAGCCGGATTGGGTATTCGTATTCGTAGCGCAAAGCGGAACGGAAAGGATTGGATTGGCGGACAGTCTCGTATGTGTTGATAAAAGATGCGTGCAAGCCATGGCAGCCGCGCATTGCATGATCGAGACGCAAAGAGTGCTGCGTGTGTCACCCGATGCCATGGGATCAAGCGCTCGCGAGTCTGACAGAAGCAGCGCGATGACGATGCATCGTCGCGAGGTCGGATCCTGAGATTTTCCAGGCGGGAATTGAATAATAATTCAACTACAGGATGGTACTGTTTGACATTAAATAAGAAAAAGTCCTGAGAAGCGGGATTGCAATGAAGGAACCAGTGGTGGGCAATCAATTCGACTTCCTTGTCGCCGATTTGCATGAAGCAGTCGAATCGATTGTCAACCACGGATCAGTCGATACACGTAAGTGAGATTCCACGGACCTCCAATCATTGCATGGAGGAGTCGAGTCGATTGCCATGGTCTTATTCGTACGAATGATCCTTATGCCCGCAAGAACATGCTTGCTTGCATCGCAGTGAGTGAAACGATCATTACACATTGAACGAACACTGCACCTTGAACGACCTCGAACGAGCAGCGCACCTTGAACGTCGTCGCCGCATTGACCATGTTGGCCTTGCGACTGTCCCCCGCGCCGCCGTTCATGCCAGGCAACCAAGCGCTGTCCGCCTCAACCTAGAGGAAGCAGAGGAAGAGGATATCTGAAGGAAGCTATTTCGGAAGCCAATCACCGTCGTTCCCGACCTGGAAATAGCAGACGCGGCCAACAAAGAGGGCCTACGCACACGCGCAGAGGGATAGGCCGTAGCAGTACATATACCCGGTAGAGAAAGCAGAGATGCAATTCGGGTGTGCCGCAAATAGTAGATCACACAACGCTACTATTGTATGACTGGGCAAAATAGTAGCGTTCAAAATGTTTGGGGGGGGAAGGGGTCGGTTGTTTAGGGCGTGTGACTTTTTGCAAATTTGTCGAAAGTTCGTACGTTCACCGCTCAGAAGGTTACCCTTCTGCAACCTACCGAATTCGTCCTTTACAACTCTAGAAGTTCGTACTCGAGTCTTGTTCGCACCCCAAGTCACACGCCCTTAGGGCTGCAGGATTCGAGCTGTCAAATTCTGTCACCAGACACTGCGAAAAAATTAGCGAGAGACAGTAACCACGCCGTACAAGTTCGTCAGTTGGCTGCTTTGGACTAGTCTGAGGCGGAATTGCGCGGCTCCGCGAAACCGCGTCCTCAATTAACATTTTCTACCCGTTTTGCTCACGGCCCGGGCAACCCGGATAAATATTTTCTACACGCGAGTCGGGAAATGCGAAAGTTACGGAAATTGAAATTGTGTGAACTGTATTTGGGATTTAGTGATTGCCCGTGAATTACCAGCCAACTGGACAGTCATCCGTAACAGTACCGCCACACTTCAACAGTGTTGCAAGGGGGAGATACGATTCCTACTCAGAAGGGCGCTGGCGTGGCACTGTGGAATCTGGGCAGATGCAAACGAGATTTACGCGAGAAAACACGAGACTGTAGTTCATGGATTCTCCTGAAGACTCATGCCCCAAAGCTCAACTTCCGCCACTAGCTAAACTCCACGCGAACTTTGACAGCCCTGTCATAATTTCGGGCCATCATTTCGGGCAAGGGAAACATGAGAGTTTGTGCACCACCACGAGAACTCACGAGAACACATGCACCGTAACCTCAGTTCGCGCCACTACCATAAATGTACAGCCACGTCATCATGTACCGCTAGAAGTTGAACCAAGTGACGAACACTGCATCCTGCCAAATGGCCTTTGAATCCATGTGCAGAAATGTACGTCTTGTTTCAGCGGAATCGATACAGACAGGCGACAACTTCCCCGCCAGGTCCTTTACAACTCTCAACTGTTAGAAACGCGGAAGGCGAAAAACGGTCGAAGCTGCCCAAAAGACCTCACGTAATCAAAAACGCATTTCCCGACTCGCGCGTAGAAAATATTTATCCGAGATCGGGGTTGCCCGGGCCGTGAGCAAAACGGGTAGAAAATGTTAATTGAGGACGCGGTTTCGCGGAGCCGCGCAATTCCGCCCTAGTCTGATGTGGCTAGTCGGAATCGCTCAGCGAGGCGGACACGGCCAACAGCGAGGGGCTTACAACGAGTAGCCGAACCGCATCATTCGCATTTCTTGATGATAGGTGTGTGCAGATATTTGCTGATGAACAGCGTCAGTAAGAAAACTAGCACTCCTTACGTGGTCCTACGAATCCTGAATGTGGTAGTCCTGACAATGAGGTACTTTATCAATAGCAACTACTGTATGAGGCACAAGAAGCCTTGCCTTGCCTGTCAGGCACAAAAACATGGAAAGTTTGAGAAATAAGGGTTCAAAGATTTGGGAGGGTCACTGCACTGCTGCCTGCCTACTGGCATGATGGCATCCCAAAGCCTCGAGCCCTGACTCTCACAACCCAACACGGCAACATCAAGCACCTACGGACTAACTGGCAATTATTACCTAAGCAGCAGCAGCACCCACATTCCCCATTCCTTCTGTTCACATGGCGGGCACGTCGGACATTAATCGCTAAGCCTTGCTCTTCACGAGCCCCGACACACAAGAAGTAGTCGAAATGGAATTGGCGTTTTTCGCAACGGCGACACCAGCAGCAGCACCACAACCGCCCCAGCAATAGCGCCCGCCACAGCTTCCGCCACAACAGCAGCCTTGATTTCCACGCCTTCCTTCTTCCCCTCTCCCTTCTTCTCCTCCTTCCCCTCCTTCCCCTCGCCTCCCCGCATCCCCTCCTCCTGCTGCCCTGTGCGGCTCCTAATGGTTGTTGCCTTGCATTGGAAGATGCTCAGCACATCTTTAGCGGCCATCTGCAGCACGATGTAGATGCACCGCTTGAAGATGGCGGGCGGCGCCACGGACGGCTGCGCCACCTGATGCAGCACCAGCCGCGACGCCACGCGCGCGCCGGATGGGGTTGCGCTCGCTGTCTTCACAGCAGGATCCGCGGCGAGATCTGCGGCGGGTTCTGTGCTGAAATCGCGGCTGGGGTTGCTGCTGCTGGCGCTGCTGCTGTCCCAGTCGCTGTCGCCGAGGCTGTCGGAGCTGAAGGTGTCGGATAGGGGGGAGGGGGGAGCGAAAATGGCGGCGGAAGCGGAAGAGGCAGAAGAGACGGATGATGCAGAAGTGGCGGAACTGGCGGAGGCTGCGGAAGCGGAAGCGGGGACTATGCGTGGCTCGACCTGCCAGAAGCCCTCGAACTTGCGCATGAGGCGGGGGCACGTTAGGATGAAGGACATCTTGCGGTTCGGGCGGTCGTGCACCATGCGCATGTGCGTGTCGAACGTGCCTGTAAAGAAGGGCAGCTGGAACGTGAACACCATGTCCATCTCGAGCTCCTTCACCTCGTTACAGTCACTAATAATGCGCTCGTTCTTGATAGATTTGATGTTCTTTTATACGTGGCGCAGACGATCGAGAAGACTGCGTCCGGCGGAAGGCTGATGGTCGCGACTCCGTCGAGTTGACAGAGGGCGTTAGATCCGACCGAAATTGTCATTGACGGCACCTCGTCGGTCCAGTCGGAATCGGCGAACCACGCGGTGAGCTCGGCGCGCATCGCGTCCTCCCAAGCCTCAGACGACGAGGCTGAAATGGCAGGAGCAGCGGTTTGTTGGGTGGCGGCGATAGTACTAGCGGCGGCCATGATGCAGTGTTTTGACGGTGGTAGTGGCTGCTGCGGAAGGGATAGGCGCGGAGCGTCCGTGGGAGCGTGGCTGGGAATGGAGATGGACGGCGGAGATTAGGGTAAGCTGAGATGTGTTGAGTAACAGTGCTACGGAGGAAAGCTGCTAGACGGCTGTTGTAGGCTCAGATTTGTCCTATGTCGTGTGATGCGGGAAATTGTGAAGTGTGGTGCGGATGGGAGGAAGGGGACGGAAGGAAACAACTTTGACGTGATGAACAAGAAGGGAGGGAGCAGATTTTGTAGCCGCCCTCCTAGACTCGAATCCGAACCTGATTGGTCGAACCGCGGATATCCAGACTCACACGGCACCCCTGACTGGTTCATATCAGAACGGTTCAGATCAAGCGGTTCTGGGCTGGATGCGTTTTCCCTTGCCCGCTACGTTCTGGGAAATTTCGAACCAATGAGTTGATGGTGCCATGGCGTGGCACACGCCACCAAGTGCTTGAGTGGCATACTGTACACGAACTGAATTCGGACCGGCACATTTGTCGGCTTGCTGTTTGGCGAGATTCAACGAAATGTGAAGCCGCTCATGCGAGACGCGAATATGTCGGCTGGCACTGTGGCGACACTGAATGAATGATGGAACCCTTTCGCACGAGGCGTTTGGGTCTGGGAAGAACAACACCCCACCCCCACATGAAGGTGACGGGCGATTGTGATGGCTTTCTTCACCGGCAATACTGTCGGCTGGCAGTTTCCCAAAAGCTGCCAAGAGCTGTGCTGGGGAGACGGGAGGGAAGGGGAGGCGAGGCGCGGCAGGGCCAGGCGAGGTGCCAACCAACTGCTTCCGTTGCATAGGGCAGCCGCCACCACCCTCGTCCATGCCGTCACATTTCACTCCACATGAAATACTCGTTACTAGTTCAGTCCATGCCCAGCTTCTATTGTGATGCAGTGTAAACAAGGTCAACACAACTTGAAAAACAACATGAAATACATCCACTAGGTAATATTTTTAGACATTATTCTTCAAACATTCTGTAACAATTCACATACAAGTACTTTTATTGCAAAACCTTGACATTATTCGATCATCACCGACACATGCGTGTGAATCAAGTTTTGCCAAAGCAACTATCACTCATTGTTGTAGCCAGCCAGTAAACTAGGAGCTTGCCCTATTTCTAGAAGTGGTAATTGTCAACATATATTTGTATATGTTATAGGCTAGATAGGTGGATGCTCATAGAGAGTACAACACCTTAGGACAAAACCACACTGTATCACTTATTCTACTTTATTCGTTACCCTGAGATGGCATCATGCGCTAGGTTACGTCCTCTCCGCCCACCCGCGCTTCTGCTCTAGTCATAGTCCTAGCCCTAGCCGCCCGTCGCTAGCCGCCCGTTGCTAGCCGCCTGTCGCTAGCCGCCCGCTCCTAGCTGCCCGTCGCTAGCTGCCTCTGCTAGCCGCTCGCTGCTCACCGCCGCTGGCCGCCCGTCGCTTCGTGCCGCCCTTAGCCGCCAGCTGCCTGTAGCCGCTGGCCGCCCGTAGCTGCCAGCCACCTGTATCCGCTGGCCGCTCGTAGCCGCCAGCCGACCATCGCCGCCGGCCGCCCATAGCCCCGCGCCCGTCGGCCCTAGCTCGCCGGCCCCTACTCGCTGGCCCAGCGCTCTCCAGCCCCGCGCCCGCTGGCCCCGAGTTTGCCGGCCCCTCGCTCGCTATCACAGCGCCCGCCAGCCCCGCGCTCGCTGGCCCTGCGCTCGCTGACCCCGCGCTTGCCGACCCCACGCTCGCCAGCCCCGCGCTTGCTGGCCCCGCGCTCGCTGGCCCTGCGCTTGCTGGCCTTGTACTTGCTGGCCCCGTGCTCGCCGGCCCCATGCTCGCCGACCCCTAGCTCCGCCGTCCCCAGCTCCGCCGGCCCCAGCTTCGTCAGCCCCAGCCTGCGTCGCCCCCGCGCCGTCGAGCCGCCGAGCCGTCGTGCCGCCGAGTCGCCGGGCCGTAGTGCCGCCGTAATGCTGTATTGCTGAGCCGCCGAGCCGCTCTGCCACCCCGACCTGCCAGCCTTGGTGTCCCTATGAGTCGGCGCTCTCGCCGGCTGTCTCCACCGCACTCCACCGCACTCCACCGCTCTTCACCGCAGTCCACCGCTCTCCACCACTCTCCACCGCTCTCCACCGCTCTT